ACAGAAGAATTTACAAGATCATTGCTTTAGTAAGGTCCAAATAGATAAAATATTAAAATTTACAAGAAAATACTCAAATTGGATTAAATAACAACAATGATAAGACAGTGTACACAACATGCTTGAAACTGAACAGTGGAATAGAACATGCAATGCATTATGCCTGTGTAATAGGAGGGTAATTGTAATTTGCGCAAGCTGTCAAATAGACTGATAGGTTAATTTTTTCCTGGAAAAAAGTCAACCAATATGTTTTTAATTTGTATATAAAAGTCATAAACCACTAACTATTAATTGTTTGTGTTTGTCAATGGATATTTCAAATCATTTGTTAGAGGACTTAATACTATCCAATTTTCTGTCTGTAATAATATTTGTGATCAACAAATTGGACACTTTGTGGTGGTCCGAGTATGTTATTATCTCACACGATAACTGCAAACAAGTTTAGACTCCACATTATCCTAATAGAGAAACAAAAACATACAGCTTCTCACAAAGTTAAAAATAACTTTCCCTTTACTCACGGCTATTCAGCTGCTCTTGTAATGCAGTCACTCTCTGTATAATGTAAAACAGAAGAAAAACACAGGTCAAATTAAAACCAATCAATAAAATGTAGTTAACACAAAAACTAAAATTCTAGCGCAGAGTATTAATTTTGAGTTCATATTTTTCATCTAATTTGCCCAGCACATGAACATGAACATACAATTAGTGACTCACATCTGAAAACATATCCCTCTCCTCCCTCATGCTGTTCATATCCTGCACAAAAGTCCTTTTTAATTCAGCTATTTCACGCTGCAATAGAACAATGCTTTAGTAGTTATAACTATTGTCACAAAGTATCACTGTAATTAGCACAACTATTGTGACGTAAGTAGTGTCTCTTTTGTAACTCTGTATTTTTTTTCTAATTTTGTTTTTTTCTTTTGTAATTAAATAAATTCAAAAATGTATATATAACTGTTATTATTAGTTACTGACCGAGTACCTCCACCATTCTTCTCTACACTCCCCTCCCCTCCCACTCAGAACCATCCCCTCCCCTGCCAAGACAGAAGAGATGAGGTAGATGTTGTACAACATGTATGTGAAAAATAGTTTCCTTTCAGTAAGAAGATTACAGTTGAGATGAAGAATTAGTCCAATCAACCAGGAAAAAACAAACTGCATCAGATAAATTATTCAAAAATATTGCCCCTTTGTAACTCAAGTGATAAAAATATAACCTCTCCTCACATTTTAAATAAGTCAACCAGCCAGCAGGTGATGAGAATTGAGAACTTTATCAACTAAAGGGTGTTGTCAATTTGATCAAATTCTTGAAAGAAAACTAACCAGGAAATGTAAAGTAACTGGAGGGGAAACTTGTGAATAAAATCTCAGGAATTTAAGGTTACAGGAAATATCAGACCTGTTGTTCAGCCTTCTCTCCAGCTTTCCATTGATCAAACATTGCTCTAAGTTCATCCATATTGTGATTTTCTGTTGTCAATTTATCTCTCTGTTAAAAAAAACAAACAACAAAAGCAAAGCAAATTTAACCTGGTGAATGCACTAATCACAACAATACTGCAAGAAAACTCAGCTCAACAATTTCCATTTCAAAATTCAAGATCAACAAAAAACACAATTCTCGCTGACACAGCTTCATGGAAACAAAGCACAAGACACCCAGTTGCTATGGCATTTTACACCTACCTGTGACTGTGTTAATTTCTTTTCCTCTTGCAGTTCACGTTCTGTCTTTTGCAACCGTAATTTGATCATTTGCAATTCTTCCTCTAAATCATTTTTCTCCTTTTCAGTCATGCCAGGTTTTGTTTCCATGGTTACAGCACCAACAGATTTGACAGGTGGCACTGTCGAGATCACCATCCCATTGACTTGGCTTGTGTGTTCACCATGCCGTCTACTGAGATGAGCTATGACATACTCATGGCTGACAAATGACTTAGCACAATATGGGCACTACAAAAAAAGCAATGACACATGTCAATTACTAAAAACCCACTTATTATCCATGTTGCCCACTTCATTAACTTTCATAGTAAAGTGGAAGAAAACCTATAGAGGGATACAAGACATGGCAAGTTTTGTATGAGGGAAATTTCATCAAAGCTTCATCTTCCTTTTCTGTACCTTGTGAGAACCACTTGCTCCAGCCCTGATCAGAAGTTGGTATTCTGCAATCCACTGCTTTTGTTTCTGGCATTCTTTCTTGAGCTTTTTATAAGCTTCTTTCTTCTCATCTAGTTCTTTCTTTACTCTTTCTGTTGTCTATATTGGAAAAAAATGCTCAAAATTATCACAGAACACTCTCTTGAAAATTAGGATCTTACAATGGTTTGATTTCATCCTTTCACTCCCAAGATCCAAAAATCAATTCTCAATACTCTCTGTCATAAAATTCATCTTATTTTTGTTCTGAGAATTTGGTGTTAATTAAAATGAAACAAAATGCTTCAGTTAATAGTTTTCTTTTTTTCTTTTTGAAAATATATTGATGTCATTAGGGGGGTATTGTTACTGTTCTCTGTTAATTTCTGATGCTAAAAAGGAGAGTTTGATTAACAATTAACAGCTTTTTCAGCTGCTGATCAATTCCTCTATTCTTGTGACTTAAATGTGTGATTCAAGGGTCATATTGTAAGGAGAAATTAGATGCTAGTCACTCTAAGAGGTCAGAGGGATAACCTATCCTGAAGTCAAAATTTGAGTTTAAAAAAAAAAAAATTTAGGGTGTTACAATTAAAGTTTTGACTCGAAAAATAAATCATTGGATAAAGGTATGAACATCTGTGTTTCCTGCTTATTGCAACGGCTGAACAAATAGAGCTATCTTGCTCAGAGCTTGATTAAAACATTCCAGATTAAACTAGCAACCAAGAACAAAATATGAATCCTGTATACAGTTTAAGTCAGCCAGTAGTTATGTAGTGTGAATTGAGTTCAATGTTACCAGCCTATAACATTGCACTTTTAAGAGTAATTTAGTTACCTCCAAAGATTCCTGTAGTGTCTTGTTCTCTGCCTCAAGATTTGCCGAAAGAAACTGCTGAGAATGCTAACATGAAAATAAATTGGAATTTTAAGTCCAAGTTACCAAGACAATGGGAGGGAATCAAATGAAGCAAATGAAAGCTAATAACAAGAAACTTAGTTTGTGATGTAACTCACCAAAAGGTACTCAATAATAAGCTGTGCCAGTCGAAACAACTTGATATAATTTGGATCAAAACCAATAGCCTGCATTCCCTATGAGATATAAAGAGTGAAAAAAAAACCCTATCAAATCAGTTTTTGAGAAAAATTTTGCGCTTCTTGGACGAGTAAGGGAGCTAGATGGGGAAATATTTAGTACAATACATAGACAAAACAGTCAACTCAAGCAATCACCAATGGTTATGGCCATTTTGCCACCTAAACATACATTAAACTGACTCCATATTCTCTAGAGTCCTAAAGAAATTTAAATTAGGTTGCATTATGAATTTTCTGCTACTGAATACACTCACCAGCTCTGCCTCAATGTTGCTGAATGTGACATGCATTATGTTATCTTGTAATGTTTTCACATCCATCTCCCTCAGAATCCTATCAACATCCACAGACGCTGAAAAAAAAAATTTCAGGATTATCCACTAATAAGAATTCAGAACAATCTTTATGCTACAAAAACACTTTACAGTGTACAGCTTACACTAAAACAATTGGGTCAGAGGATAATTCTACCTGTTCAGACTATAATATAAGTCTACACATTGTAAAAATATATTGAAATCATACCAGGTTACCGGTACGTTACAAAATTAGTTTAGTCAAAATTCACCTTTTTGCGCCATGTTTGTAATGACAACAATATTTTAAATACACTCAACATTAACATATTCATCACAGCAAACACTTCATATATTAAGCTATCCACCAAACTATTGTAGTATTTGCATTTTTAACAAAAAATATCTAGACACTTTTCATTGTTTCTCACCAAGTCGCCTCCAGTCAATCTTTTCTTGTCGCCTTCCAAACGAAAAATTCATTCCTACAAATTGTAATATGTATTCGTAAAAAAGAAAAAAACACCACTGGACGATATGCATAGGCCTGTGCGGCATTTCGCGAGTAGTCACTAGTGATTTATTTATGGAAATATTTACATAGCAGTAGCGGTAATTTTTAGCTATAGGAACACAGAGTACCAAATTAATTTAAGCTCGAGGAAAATTGTACCACAAACAACAAAAAACTTTATGAATCTTCCTAAAGATCCTTTATCGATATAAATCTGCTATGGGCTGTGAATAAATAAAACTTAATATTATAAGGAAAACGAGCATACCACTCATGATCAAGAAAAAGCAATTAGCTTAACGACTTCCTTCAGACATTTTGAAGAGTAATTAGCCGACTGTATTACTGTATATGTATGTTTGTATCTATGTACGTGTCTGGGATGCCAATTTACATGTATCAGTGCTTTTTTACTTAATATTCTAAAACCACTCAAGTTCAACATCGGTTACGTTTAACATACCTTCCGCCATATTTCACGGCAATCACAGAAGATCTTGGTCAGATAGCGTCAAATTCTAGCCATGAAGCATAACGCACGAAATTTTTTGACCATAATATTGACTGATCATCAAACAACCAAACATAGGTTGCCATATTTTCAAATTCCCCGCGAGGCAACCGTGAAAAAGTTAATAACAAACACAAGTTTAGATCGACAGCGAAATAAATACATACGATCACATTCCCCACTAATATATGCTCAATCACGGTTAATTTCAGATAAATTAATATCTCTCCCAGAGACGTTTTCTCATAGAAAGAATGCAAAGGTTAATTGCAAACAGCTTTGCGTGAAAAGACGCCAAACTTTCTCCTCAGACCTCCTCGGTTTTACACTCCAGAGAACAAATTTCTTTCCGGGCGGGGGTCGGGAAAGGTTGCCATACTTAACAACAGTTAATTTGTGACGTTAAAAATTCTAAATACCCCCTAGAACACTTTGAAACTTTTCAAAAGGGTTATTAAAGGCTGAAGTACAGGTTAGTCGTTTTACTTATTACTAAGTTGTTCATTTTCTGGGGAAAATTTTGACCATAGATAAAGAAACGTGAGGACAATTCCGACTTTACCAGACCCCAGTGGAACAAGTTTCCCGCGCTCGACTGATCATTCGGTGGACAGTTCAAGATGGCGACTAGAATGAAAGTGACCTCCAGTGTCATAGAACAGTTTGTCAATGTTACAGGAGCCTCTGAAGAGATTGCAAGATCAATGCTGGAAGCTTGTAATGGAAACTTGGAAATGGCGATCGAAATGCACTTAGATTCGTGCGAGGTTCCCGAATCAGGAGTCTCGGGTGCTAGTTCTTCCGCGACCAGATTAAATTTTGCAGCTGGGTCTTCAAGTAATTCTCATCAGTAAGTTGTGATTTGAAATATTTTTATCAAACATTGTCTCCGATGCCTTAACTTTACGTACCATAGCAGTTTCTAGTGAGAATTCATCAAGACATTATCTGGAACTTAAAAAAATTATCCCACGGTCAAATCGACTTTTAGAATTGATGTCTTACAAGCTTAGCAGCCTCACAGATTATGGATTACTCAGTAAAATGAAAATTTCCCAGTAATCTCAATTCTTTTTGCTAAGTTTTGTTCTGTATACAACGACACATTGGTGTTACTAAATTACTTGGTTGGAGTAGTGCGTTAAGTCGTTTTGCTTTAAAACGATCGATCATGAGAGGTCTTATTATTAAATTTCATGTCATTAAACACCAATCTGTGACAAAATATTCTGTTTGCACCAATAAATTAGTTTTTTGATGTGCTTCAAAACATGTGGACCAGTTTTTGTCATGAAATTAGAATTACAGTCGATAAGTGCTTGATTATTATAAATGTCCTTTTTAAAACTCAAGATATTTAGATTTGTTCTATATTTATTATTATTATTATTATTAAATTTTTAAATTATTTATTGTTATTATTATTATTTAATTAAAAGTAAAGGCAGTAAATGCTTGGTTATTATAAATGTCCTTTTTAGAACTCAAGATAATAAGATTTGTTCTTTATTTTTTACTATGATTAACATTGTTATTATTATCATTATTATTATTATTATTATTATTATTTTATCAGAAATGTTGATGATGTACGGGCTCCTATTCCTCAGACCCATGGTATTTTAGTGGAACCATTTCAAGGTATGACTTTTTTAAATAATGCATGAAGTTTGCAAGAGTATAGCAAAATTTATTTATTTATCTGATTTAATGAGTCATTAATTTATGTTTCTTTCCAAATTTTTTTTCAGCATATCCAACCAGAAAACGACAAGCTAAATCAGTGTTTGATGCATTCCGAGATTTTCAAGCTGAAGCAAGTAAGCAGTTAGAGAGAACAAATGCTTGGTTTTTATTTTTCACCTTCTCTACCAAACCCCAACAGACTTTTCCTTGATGTTCTTTTGTAATGGTACAAATACTGGATTAGTGTTTTCATTTATCTTGTATAGCTTAAATAAACATTGGATTAATATTTATATTTATTTGTACAAACTCTAATATTGGATTTATATTGTCTTGTAGGACAACAAGAAAGTGCTAGCACTTCCTCTGTTATGACAGGAAAGAAGAAAACACTACATGATTTATTCCGCCCACCAATTGATCTCCTACACAAAGGAACATTTGAGACTGTAAGTTTATTTGTTCCAATATTTTCAGGTTAGCCCAGCATTTTTTTTTTTTCAATCTTTTCTTGTTTTCATTTTTCTTTATTTCCAAGAACTAGTCTTTATTACAGAAAGATTCTGTGCAAGTTGAATAATTGTCCTGATCCAAAACCTGCCACAAGGTCCTCAGCTGTTAATCAGACTCAGGGTTTTGGTGATTTTGTATATTTTCACTTTTAAGTGAACTCTTCACCACTCTGAAGATCCTATGAGTAATTCTCCTTACTCTCTACCATACAATACTTATAATGTTAGTTTGGATAATTTGTTATTGGATCAACTCATAATACCCTAATTTATATTTTTCTCTATTCTCATCACTTATCTGTTTGATATTGTAATGACATTGTGAGGAGAAATTCTATCTTGGTCATTCATGGGAGTTTAAGGATTGAAAAAACCCTGATTTTATCAACCATTGCCATAATAATGAAAATGAATCATTTTCAAAGGAAAAATGAAAGATGTTGATATCATTTCTCGTTTCCTCATTTCTTCTTAGTTGTGCTCATTTCTTGTTGTTATATAAATGATAGGCTAAAGTTGATGGCCAGCATCATAGTAAGTGGTTGTTAGTGAATGTCCAGGATGTGCGAGAATTTTCCTGTCAGCAGTTAAACAGGGACGTGTGGAGTAATGAAGCAGTGAGAAATATTATTAAGGAGCGCTTTGTTCTTTGGCAGGTAACATAATCTTAGTTATATTTACCTATTTTTTATCTGTAAGTGAATTCTCTTAAATGTTGGCCATTCATTTTGGTCTACCTCTTTTGCAATAAATATGTAATGGACAGCTGTTCTTTACAGGGAGACATCCACAGTTGCCCAAATTTTATAGGAAAAATGTATCAAGGAGTTTTAAATCAGTGTTCTTTGATATTTAAACTATGTTAAGTAATTGATTTGGTGAAAAAAAATGCACTCATCAATAAAATCTATTCTTTCCTTAGGTGTACAGAGACAGTAATGAGGGAGATCGCTTTATCCAGTTCTATCATGTGACAAAATATCCCTTTTTAGCTGTTCTTGATCCTAGGACAGGTTAGCTTTACTTTGGTTTGTGATAACTTGTACTTATCATTCATTCTTGATGTACTATTTTAAAAAACAAGTGCAAGGGTTTCATCAGGGTTTCCAAACATGAGGAAACCAAGGGAAGCACAAGGCTGCAGGCCAAGTGCTTTCATTGTTTTCAAGTGTTTGGAAACTCTGATGAAACCCTCACACTGGTTTTTGAAATAGCTCCTCAATCGCGCCTCAGGAATAAAAGAAAATGGAAATATTCACGAATTTTTCACATGTTGTCAGCGAAAAATTGTATTGTTATGGTGATTTGCATTTTTAGAAAGGGTGCGAACCATGTTATCATGTTTTGGGCAATTTAAGTAAGTGAGTGAACGCGATGGTGTCTTCTTTAGAAAATGTCTCGTGAGAGAGAGTGTTAGTAAAGGTTGTTTGTTCATGTTGGTGTCTCTGTTTTAAGTATTCAAATATGTGTTATAAATATTCAAATTAAGAAATGAGTTCACTAGAGTTTGATGCTTTATCAAACTCAAGGGTTTGTTTTTATATGAAACTCTTGGACTGTACGTCATTCCAGTGTTTCACCATGGTTTCAAACCACATGCACATAACAAAATTTGGCGTGTCTTGGTTGGATGATCATCTTATCAATAATTAACAAGTTTAAGAAAAAGATTTTAAAGTTTACTTTCTAATTCAACCAATCCTTTCCAGGGGAGAAACTGGTAGAATGGGGTTACATGGATGCTCAGGCATTTTGTGAATCTGGTACGTGTTTCTTAAGTTTAAATAATTACTTGATTTCTTGGAAGGAACTCTTTTTATACTTTTTCTATACTTTTTTTCAACCATTTTTTATTTTTCCACTAATTTTTCATCAATTATATCCTCTAGCGGCAGAATTTCTTTTACAACATCCTTCTCTTGAAGGAGACACTCCACCAGCTAAGAAAAGAAGAAGTGTAAGTGACTTTGGTGTTATTCAAAGATATTTACTTGATGAAGGTTTTTTTTTTTCAGTTGAATCACATGCTAATCCATATTAGGTTTTTTATTGTTGTTTTTGGTGTTTTTCTGTGTTTGTTTGTGTTTTCTTTTTTTTTTTGTCTCTCTGAGATAATGAATGAATGCTTAGCATTTAGCGAACTGGTAAAGCCTTGGTTAGGTTGGTGTGTTGTGTTCTTACCCTCAGAGTGTCTCTCTCCATCCAGGAGTAAGGATGTGGGTATAAGGAAAACTCTTAATGAAACTTGATATATCAGTGGAGCATTTCTGACAATGGACTAACATTCCATTCAGATAAAAGATTAAGTCAGCCCTTGAGTAACACTGTCAGAGCTTGTCCCAGTCTCCCTTATGTGAAGTAACTAGTAGAAATGCTACTCCCCACAGTCCTTTGCAGCTTTCCCCACCTCCAACACTTTGCCAGACTTCCCTCACTTTTCACTGGCACACTGATCATGAGACCACCATTTAGAAAAAGCAATTCTCCTGGTAACTTTATGCTAAAGAAACTGAGGTAGGTTCCAACAGGGTGGGCCACGTGGTTCTTAGGACTTAACTAAGCCTTAAACCTTTTGTCTATTTTTTGCAATTTTTTGTGTGTATCTCTAGGAATCAATCGTAGATGCCTCTGAAGATTCGCAGCTTCGTGCTGCCATAGCAGCATCATTACAGTGCACCAAATTTGAAACCAAAAATGACGAGAATAGCGAGGATGATGACGAAGACTTTGAGGATTTAGAATTTAGTGGTTCAGATTCTGACGAGGAACACAAAACACCAGCAAAGAATGTAAACAATTCAAGTACTGTTGATAAAAAAGATGTGAAAAGAGGAATAAACTTTGATGAGCCTTCCAATAATGGCGAAGGAACTTGTATCAAAGGGAAGGAATCGCCGGAAAGTGAACTCTTGAAAAATAATGACTCAGTGAAGAGGAAAAATAGCACAGGAGTGGAAGAAAGTACGCAAAATCATTTGGAGAAAATAGAGGAAGTTAGGGAAACTGAATCTGAAGCTAAGGAAACAGACAACACTTCAAACCTGAGAACACAAGAGCAGGCTGGTAAGAGGCACTGATAGAGAACTGAAATCTTCTTACAAATGTTCTTACGTTTTTTTCCTGTTGGTGTTCAGAATTTAGTGGTCAGTCAACACAGCAAAATTAATTGTAGTCATCAACACGTTTACTTAATTAATTATCTATTAACTCAGACTTGACGAATTCTTAACGAAAAGAAATTGCAGATATTTATGCGTAGGAAAAAATATTTTTCAGTTTTGACGTAAAGATTCGACAACAACGCGTCCTGATTGGGTTCCGAAAGGGGATTCATGGAAGAAGCGTAAATGGCAGATGCATGTTTAATGTTAACGTATATTACAATTTCGACAGTTGCGCGTTTTAAGATTATCTTCGCGTCCTGATCACGCACTGATTACGTTCAGAAAGGATCTCATAGAAGGAATGGAAATGGCAAATGCATGTTCATTGGTAACACATTTAGTAAATTATCTTCGCGTCCTGATCACGCACTGATTACGTTCAGAAAGGATCTCATAGAAGGAATGGAAATGGAGATGCATGTTCATTGGTAACACATTTAGCAAATTCAATTACGGGGCGTCTTTATGAGTATCACCGCGTCGTAACCGCGTTCTGATAGCATTCTGTCCGCAACCTGAAAATCCAGACACCTCATGCACCAGCGATGGAAAGTAGTTTATCAATGAAATTCGTGCACTCTTGCTTCCACTTTCACGTCGCCTCTTCTTTGCTAAACAATTCAGCCATCCACTTACTGACTTCCGTTCTGTATTTTTCATTGCAGGACCTATGTGTAATATTATGGTCCGTTTTCCGAATGGCTCTCGTACCCATATCTCTCTGAGTGCCGAGTCATCTTTGAAGGTGAGGTCTGAACAAAGACAAGACTTTAAGCTTGTTAAAAAATTAACCCGCAGAACAGATGCTTTCCTTTCACTTTAACTGGTTACTCTAAATTTTTGTCGGTGCATTTTTACAAGCTGCGCTTTTCAAATCTGAAGATGCATTTTTGAATTTTTGAAGGGTACAACTACATTTTAAGAAGGGAAAACCAGTGTGTGTTCAAAGTGCATCGTGTAGTGTGTAGGATAAACCGTGTTCTCTCTCATCGCTTCGTAAACCATCACCTATGGAGATCGATGCAAAAGTTTCTCTAATGTACGTTTTATTCTGACGGACTTAATTAACGATCTTGATTAGGTAACTTAGCAATTTTTTTCACAGGATCTCGTCTTGTTGGTACAGAAAGAGGGTTACCCCAATGAACGTTACGAACTCGTCACCAACTTTCCACGGAGGAAATTGTCCAGCCTGGATTTCGGGACGACTCTTAAAGCTGCGGGACTATTCCCGCAAGAAACAGTTTTTGTTCAAGAGAGATGACGAGTGTTAAAACGCTTCACCCGAGAAAGAGCGCGATACGAAGAGGTCAAGACGCCAACAGATTGGGCCCACGAAGATAAAACGAACACTGCCGAAGAATATAAATTAAACGTACACAGGCCTTGATGAGACTATCTTTAAAATGTAAACGTCAAATGTCGAGACATAATTGAGTACGCGAGTGTTGAGTTTCAGTTTAAGATGTACGAGTATTCAAGGGTTTCTCCATCTGTTTTATCCTTATCTAGTACCAATATTTTTCATTTTCGACGTCACATATGATTTCCGCTCATATTAGAACACAACTCGATCTCCATGTTTTCATTGACAAATATATTCACGTTTTATATTAAAACATGAAACAGTCTTGACCGACCTACAAATTAAAGCCCGCATTCATCTTTACCAACTTCTTGGTAACTAGACTTAATTTTGGTGAATTTTTTATTTTTATTTTTCCACACTACATCATTAAATAACTTCATATATATGCCATGCGACTTCTTATACATGCCATGTAGGAAGGATGTCGAGTTTTTCCTGTAAGTGATGGACCATACAAAGATGCCCCGCTTGAGAGGGGTAACTTTCCACATGTAACACTAAGTAAGTCAAAGATTTGATACAATGCAATGTTTGGATATTGCCAAAACGGAGTTTGAAGGGTCGACCGGTAGATTAAGGAAATATTAAGGTTGTTCAAGAGAAGAGTTATGTGAAATTTCTCAACAAAACTCTCCTTTTCTCTTCCGTTATCATGACCAAACGTATAAGGATTCTGAAGGGAAGTAGTCTTGGTCCTCTATGGTAGATGAATCCCTAGGGGTACCCCTAGGATGAAAGGGCACCGGGGCAGATCCTTCCGGCAACGCATATGAAATGATAGATAAATTTACAAATTTACAGGTTGACGTCTTCAAAGAGTAGCGGAGTTGAAAAAAAAAACAATAAAAGAAGGCTTTTTTTCTTGTGATGAAAAGCGAGGATCAGCCAAACTTCTCTGCTTCCTAGAGAACCAACACGTTTTCTCCGTCCAGGCCCTGCTGGTTTACGCCGCCATTTTGATTTTCCTGCTGTTGTTTTAGCATACAATTTCGTTTGCACTCCAACAGCTTTGCAAGGTCCTAAGAAGAAAGATGTAGGAAAACGAAACATTTAGCTGGTAGTATTCTGGACGTGGCCAGGCAACCGCGTTTTTTTTTTCTTATTTTTAAAGCTGAAAGGTAGATTTTGCGAACTCTTAGTTGTAAGATGATGCATTTGCCTCCAAACCAAGCACTCTCAACGTTGCTGGACGTCTTCTCTCACTAACTAAAAAAAGCCTCATTTGTTCCGAAGGCAGATCCTAATATGTTCTAATCGAAATGATTTAAAGTTGAAACGTTTTATCGATGCCGGTCAGGGGGAATAATAGGACCAAAGATTGAAGTATTCCAAAGGGAAAGAAGCAACTCTTAACTCCCTACCGTACCCCTACTGGGAATGAGAAAAGTACTTACACTCCACATCTTCATCTGTTTCATATTCGGTGCCTGGCTCTCTCGGACAGATTTCTGTTTATCACGAAGACTCTGAAAAACAAATTCGAAATAATAAGCATGCGTTGATTTCACCTGGACTAAAAAAAAACCTAAAATAACAGCTTATCGTTTTATTCAATACCTTTCCCAAGTTTTCTTGCTCTTGAATCTTCTTAGTAAACTGATCCCTAAAAACAAAAGGAAAGAGAAAAAAAATGAATTAAAAGAGATTCTCACAACTGTTAAAAGACTTATCAACTACAATTTTTTTCTCAGTGAATCACTAAATGCAAACCCTTTGAAAACCCATGATAACGAGTATTGATAACTGGATTGTTACGTGTTATCTGCAAGTTTACCCGTTATCTGCAAGTTTACCCGCTGTATGCAAGTTTGCCCGTTATCTGCAAGTTTACCCGTTATCTGCAAGTTTACCCGTTATTTGCAAGTTTACCCGTCATCTGCAAGTTTACCCGTTATATGCAAGTTTACCCGTTATATGCAAGTTTACCCGTTATATGCGAGTTTACCCGTTATATGCAAGTTTATCCGTTATCTGCTAGTTTACCCGTTATATTCAAGTTTACCCGTTATATGCAAGTTTACCTGTTATCTGCAAGTTTACCCGTTATCTGCAAGTTTACCCGTTATCTGCAAGTTTACCCGTGACGCGCGTTACAGCAAAATTTGCACGAAAAACAAAGATTACATCTTTACCTGAAAGATTTTTTGCGATCTGCAGTATCCGCCGAGCGGTAAGCCTTCAGTTCGTCATCGATTCGCCCCTGCTGCACTTCGAGTACCTAACGTTTAAAGAATAAAACAGTTTCACAAGGACATGGAACTAATTCCAAGTCTCTTCACTCACCGTAGCTCCCCGTTACCGCCGCTTTTCGATTGGTCACGCAATGCTTGCAGAAATAAGTACAAATGCTAGCTCTTATGGAGCTTACAGTCGAAATAGAGGTGCACCACTCTAGCTTTTATAAGATGTTATTGTCAGCTTTTCAGGTGAAAAAAAGTTGTGCAAGACGAGGAGATGCCCTGAGATACAGTAAACAGATATTTTTGCGAATGACCGTCATGCGTAAAACTTACGCGACCTCTGACACAGCTATTCACAATCCAACTGTCTATTCTCTCCTGTCCTCTCATCTCACACAAACTTATAATATTGAAGTCACTTTCGAGCGTAACACGAAGCTAAAGCAGTAATCAAAGATCAACAAACCAGGACAAACCTTCAACATGCAATGTAAATAGTGATAACGTCCTTCCTCGTGGGTCAATTCCTCGCGCAGGGCTCGCACCTCCTGATGATGCAGAAAAAAATAATTACTTACAAAGCAGTATTTACAACACAAAACATATAAACCAGTTGACAGGCTAAATGATTTGTCGCTGTGCAGTAATGAAAAAGAGAAGAATAAAAGCAATAAACTTACGTGCTCAAGTTTAGACAGATTACTTTCCAGTCCTGCAGCTAAATTCTCATACGCTGCCCTCTTTTCTTCGTATTCGCCGGTCATCTCCTACCATAAGCAATGAAAGTCTCAGAAAAATAATAGGAAATTGTTCTCACTATCAGTCAGCTACTGTCACGAGAATTAAGACATTGTTCAGTCTCATTACCTGACATTTCTGCCTCATTGGTCTCAATTCTTTAATAACTGGTGCCAGAGCAGTCTTCTTGTCTGCAATTGTGGCATTTAACTGCCGAACCTGAGAAGGAAAAATTGCGACATGAATGAATTGCATACTTTGATACCTTTAAAAGCAGTACTCCCTGAGTTTCAAGAAAAGCAGATGCGAACAAATCTTTAAAGATAACTTCACAGATTGCATCTGTAAAATTTTGATAAAGAAAAGCTTTTGGAATTTGACGGAAGAAACAAGTTGCGGAAAACCAGTTCCAAACACAAGGTTTCTATAAGCTCCTTCTTCGTTTTCAAGAATTAACTCACAGGTCGGTGTTTAACCTTCTGTGGTAGTATAGATCGAGCTTGAGGACTTTCTAATCAACAATGGAAGGCAAAAATTGAAACTCATGAAAAAAAATATGACTGCTTTCCATCCTAAAATGGAAAAGTTAATTCACTCTTCGGCTAATATGTCAGCTGTTGACAGAAGCACAGTACTGTGGCCTTCGTGTCCTCACCAGTTCAGATATGTCCTCCAGCGTTTTCCCTTTCTGTTCATCCAGCTCACTTTTCTTGGCAGAAACTTTTTCCAATTCCTCTTGAGTCTCATGGAAACCTGTCACACCCTTCTTGTTCTCTAAATTAGACTTACGACAAGAAAAAACAACTCTCTTAGTAAGGTGTTTTACAAGTTGAAGGGAGTACTCAGTTGCTTTATCAATCGCTCTAATTTTGTAAGAGAAAAGGGGAAAAACTCTCCTGATCAGATATTTCAGAGAAGTAGCAATTTTCATTCTTAAATAGTATGAAAGTCTAAGAACCCATCCACCATCAGAATGAGTAACACCACAAACCCTCCCTTCCACCAAAAATACGACACTTCATGTAACTGCCTGTGGAGTAGAATGGAGAAGATGCTTAAGCATAACAGGTACCTGGTACTGTTACTGGACCTCTACATTAGGCATTTCTGTTTAAGCCTGAACTAAAGCAATGTGCTTCTATTCTTGAGAGGGATGCTTTTCAAAGTTATGAACAAAGTGCTCCCAAGTACAATAACACTTACCAATTGATGTTGAAATGTCTCATCCTTGCCTTTCAGTATTTCTTCTGTCCTAGCTAACACCCCATACTCTGCACGAAGTTCTGCCAACTGGTAATTCACAAATTTGACAAAATATTATTTTAGAAAATATAAATTCTGACTGATCCAAAATTATCAAAAGGTGTTTTAAGGTTATATCAGTGAAGAATGAATTACAGAGAATATATTTCACATATACCTCTTGTCTTTTCTTTTTATAGACTGTGCTTTTCCCTCTCAGCTTGTTCACATATCTTTTGAACTACAATAAAAAAGGATTTCACAATCGTCACTTCTAAATTCCTTATAAATTAGGTCAATTTTCAACCTCCTTTGGCTCAGTCATCTAAAATTTCCCTGCTCCCTCCCTATTTCCTCACCATTCTCCATCTCCCCTCCAATACCCCTGCTTACTTTCCCTTCCCATTCCCTTCCTGTTCCCTGCCCCCCCTCCTACCCCCTCCTCCCCTGATCCATCCTCATTATACCTCCCCATACCCCCTCCCTTACCAACCTTACCCCTTCTTACTTCTCTTCCTATTCCCTACCCCTTCCTTCCCCTCTTCCCCTAGCCCATCCTAATTCCCCTTCCCAATCTCCTCTTCATTCTTCTCCGTTCCTCTTTATTCCCTTCACCATTCCCTCTTTCCTTCCATAGTCACATCCTCCTCCTCCGATTCCCTCCTCGTTCATCTCCAGTCCCCTTCCTACTTCCTTTTACCATAAAATTCTTTAGTCTTGTCACTAACCTCATCTCCTTTCAACACTTCTGATCCTTCACTTTCTTTCAGTAACTCTTTCTTCTTCTGCAAATCACTTTCTGCATTACTCAGCTAAAATCAAACAAAAAGTTGG